CAAAAAAACTGCAAAAAAAAAAAATTTTTTTTGTAGGTAACAAAAACTCATATGTACCCAATAAATATGAAAAAATAGTATGTATCAATAAAAAAAATGGTAAATCTAATCAATCCTCTTAAAAATGAAGTAAATGTCTCCATTTCTTCAAGGTTCGCATTACATTGTGATTTTGCAAATTTCTTCACCCAGCACCTGTGCAGTTTCTATGGTGGCCCTTGTCACTATTTTCCCACTACACTTTGTAACTAGCTATTGATCAAGACATCTTTATCTTGCAATCTGACACCTCCACACCTTGCATTATTTCTGTCCTCAGCAATGTCATGTGCCCTTGATGAAAGAAAGCAGCTGCTGAGTTGTGTCCTTGTCCTTGGGACCCAGCTGAGAGCCCTGCACATCACTTGATTAAATGACTGAGTGAATGAATGGTGCAGTTTCCTCCCTTTGTACTTGGGGCAGTGTTCATCCTAGCAGCTCTTCCCTCCTTGACATCTGTGTCTATCACCCTACAGAGGCAAGCCCCACTGAGGCACCCGGCACAACACACCAGCATAGGGAATAAGGTGGGCCCCATAGCCAGATGTCTCACCTCAGAATCCCCAGAAATAGGCTGTGCTCAGCAACATCTCCTAGTCAGACAAGAGGCAAAGAAAAATACAAAACCATATGCTTAACACGTGGCCTCCCCAGTGGCTGTCACCCACCTGTGTCTTTTTCGATAAATAGATAGGGTGTGAGAGAAGGGAGCAGCAGGATGGGCACAGCCTTGTTGCTTGCTGCCCCTACCTGCCAGTGTGTCAAAGGACAGATCCCCTCCCAATGCGGGGTCTTAGTTCGTCCATCTCTGCTGGCCAGAACTGACCTGTGGGTAACAGGCTCTCCCTCCTTACCATGTTCAGCCACACCTGCTGCATTCACATGACTAAAGAAGTTTCTTTGGATGGTACAATGGTGTGATGATGATTATAATTACATTATTCTTAACTCATATCATTCACAATTGCCGGCACTATTCTAATGAGTTACCTAAATGATTATTATATCACTGAATCCTCACACAATCCTAGCATTTTGGCCTTATTATTATCCCCTTTTACAGATGAAAAAACTGAGGTGGAGTGACTTGCCCAAGGTCATCAGGTGAGAAAGTGGCAGAAGTGGGATGTGAACACCAGGCAGTCTGGCTTTAGATGTAACTATGGCACAGCTGGCATTCTTAGGCACCTGCCCCATTCCAGGCTGGTGAGAGCTGCTTATTATGCAATGGAACAGTGCAGGCACAGATACCTCAACTGCTGTACCCAAAAGCCTAGCAAATTTTGGTGCCCAGCCCCCAAACATATACAGAAGGTCATTGCATGGGCGCCCCCCCCCCGCCCAAGTCCAGCTGATTCATCCCCAGTGACCCCACCCCAGGCTGGGCCAAGTGCTCTTGCTCTGTGTACCTGGTCTGCTTAACTTGCCTGCCTCTATCCTATATATCGCCTCCCACCAGGATGAACCTCCTGTATCTTTTTTTTTTTTGCATTTTTTTTTGGCCAAGGCTGGGTTTGAACCCACCACCTCTGGCATATGGGGACCGTGCCCTACTCCTTGAGCCACAAGTGCCACCC